GGGCGAATCCAGCCCTTGTCGAGAAGATCATCGAGTTGTGCGCGAAGCACCTCGAGTTCCTCTTCGCTCATGCGGTAGATACATCCACGCGGAGGGACGACGCCAGCCTCGAGAGTGATCCCGTGACGTATGGGCCGATCCGGAACCATTCCGGTGGGAGCCTCGAAGACGTCTCTATACTCGTCCAAGAGGTGAGAAATGCGTGGGTCCGGCGGTGACGCGGCTGGTCCGTCCGGCGAGGGGAGAGCATGCAAGAATACCAGGCCCATCTCCTCGACGTCATTCTGAGCTATGGCGTCGCGAATTCTCGCAATGGAAACCACGTGACAAGCAATCGAAGTGTGAGGGGTCGCGACCGTACATGGGACCAACACTCCGCTCCGATCACGGATGTGAACGGTTCGGTCATGGAAGTTCACCGGATGATCGGCGCTACGCAACCAAGACATACCTAGAATCATGTCGAACTTATGTCGAGGATGTCAAAAGACACCGGCTCGCACGCAAGTGGCGCAAAGTATACCGAAACGCCGTCGACGCATCGATCAATTGACTTTTGCGTGCGGCCGTCCGCGAGTGTAACTTGCGTGGGTTGCGTCTTCCTTCGAACGCGCAGGCCAAGACCTGCGCGGGCCATAAAGGCTTGGCTCATAAAGTTGCGAGACGCTCCACAATCAATCAAGGCACTACATGTTGCCTTTCCAATTTGAATGCGGATATAGAGCAAAGGCGCGTCGGTTTCGGCGTACCTTTGGGTGGCGTACTCGCGGTCAATCTTCGCAAGATGGGAGCGGAGATCGACAACAGCTACCCCGTCGTCCATCAACGGAGCTGGTACTGTAGCGAGCAAATAGGAGCATAAATCTGCCATCAAGGCGTTGCAATGCGGCCTTGGCAAGGTTCCGGTCGAGGGTAGAGGCATCCAAGCGAAGTCCTCTCTCGTGATCGGGTCAAGCTCCTCAAGTCTTGACCACGTCGTCGAGTCCTCGGAAATCAGTGGCGAACTGACCGGATCACTTGCCGATGGTGTACAGGCTGCGCATACGCTAGCTAAATGCACGTGGCTTGGCTGGTCTAATGGTGGTACCAGCTGGGCGGCATAATCCTCGTACGTAGCACGAGCATCAACGACTAACGCATGCTCCCCGGTAGTGACATCGATTGCTAGCAAGGCAACCGGTTCCGGCGGAGTGAGGAGAGACGTCGTCCCTCTCCTTGTGTGACTCAGTTTCCCGAGTTTGCTGGACGGAGTACGCGTGCCTTGGCCTTTTCGGGGCATTGTGCAGTCAAGTGTGTGACTCCATTGCACCAAAGGCAATATCTATACTTTTGACGAAGTTCATAGACTTCCTTGGTGATGTTGTAGGCCGTCCATGGCTGCTGCCCAGTTCCCGTCGATGCTGTCTCTTGTGTCGCCTTGTTCTTCCGAACTCTCTTGGGACGCTTCGGCGGGAGCGCTGCTACAATTCCTCCATCACTCGAGGATGTTGCTGCAGCGTGGAGATTGTCTGTTTCTTCAGAAATTACGACATTGTTATGTGTCGGACGTTGATAGCCCTGCTTAGCCACATAATGCGGCTGGGATTGTTTCTCGTTAGCGGCCTTGTCGTCCGTTTGGATGACCAGGTTTGCGCGATCCAGGATAGCCGAGAACGAGGTATAGTCGTACTCGTTACCGAGTGCCGACCGCAATCCCGCGCACGATCGTGAGAAGAACTCGGATCGTTGATTAGGAAAAGTCAAATCGAAGCCTGGCGTGGTCAATATCTTCTGCCACTTGGTTGTCCAGTCTCGAGTTGGCATACTTCCTTGAGAGCAGGTGTACACCTCGTTCATGGCCG